CTCTGGGAGGTCTAATGGCCACAAACCTTGGCCAGCCTATCCCACTGCTGGGATAGCCACACTGGGATTTCCTGCACTTGGGAAGAGCAGCATTCCAAACACTTACTATAGCTGAGACAAACCTGGGCTTAAAGTGCCATCTAGAACTGAAAAGGAGGCAGTTGCCTGGCAGTAAAGAATCTCTAAGAAAATATATCCAATAAAAACCAAAAGTAGCCAGAGAGAGAAGACAAAAATAAAAAAAATAATAATAAATAAATAGGACCAAATTAATCTTGCAGTGAAAAGACACAGACATACATCCACAAGTAATAACAACAAACAGGGAACCATGAGTTCCCCAAGCAGACAAAGCAAGGATCCAACAGCTGACCCTAATGAAACAGCAATAGGTGAGCTCTTCAACCAAGAACTAAAAATAATAACTTTAAAGATGCATGGTGATCTCCCAGATAACACAAGAAAGCAATGCAGAAACTTATTAGAGAAATTTAACAGAGAATGAAATAATCTTTAAATTAAATAAACCTTGAAACTGAAAAATATGTTTACACACTGGGGTCACTTGGGGGGAAACAGGGGAGGAACGGTGGGGGGTGGGGAGCTAGGGAGAGATAGCAAGGGGAGAGATGCCAGATGTAGGTGATGGGGAGGAAGGCCGCAAATCACAGTGCCACGTGTGTACCTATGCAACAATCTTGCATGTTCTTCACATGTACCCCAAAACCTAAAATGCAATAAAATAAATGGGAAAAAAAATACGTTTGCAGAAGTGAAAAATTCATTAGAACTCTCAACAACAGAAAGGATCAAGCAGAGCAAAGAATCAGTGAGCTCAAATGCAGACTATTTGAAAATACATGGAGAAGAAAAATAAAAAAGAATTACAAGCAAGAAAGATCACCTAAAAATATAGAAAATTACCTCAAAATACCAAATCTAAGAATTATTGGTGTTTAAGAAGGAGTTCAGCAAGAACAGAGTAGAAAGCTTATTCAAGGAAATAACAGAAAACTTTCCAAAACTTGAGAAAAAGATAAATATCCAGGTACAGGAAGGTCAGAGAACATGACACATATTTGACTCAGATAAGACTGCTCCAAGGTATATGATAATCAGACTCCCAAAGATCAAGGATAAAGAAAGAATCCTAAAAGCAACAAGTGAAAAGATGCAAATAACATATAAAGAAGGTCCAATTCCTCTGGCAACAGACTTCTCAATGGAAACCATACATGCCAGGAGGGAACAGAATAACATTTGCAAAGTGCTGAAACAGAAAAAATATTGCCAGCTAACAATATTGTATCCAGCAAAATTACCCTTCAAATATAAAAGACAGATAAAGTCTTTCCCAGACAAGCAAAGTGGAGATAATTCACTATCACAAGACCCATCTTACAGTAAATGCCAAAGGGAATTCTTCAATCTAAAAGAAAAAGACACTAATGTGTTTTAAAAATTGGAAGTTATAAAACCCACTGGTAAAATTAAGTAAAAGGACAAACCTAGAATACAATAATAATATAATTGTTGTATACAATCCACTCATAAATCTAGTATGAAGTCCAAAAGACAAATCTAGCAAAAACAATAATAGCTAGATTGACTTGTAAAAAGATTGATACTGTTCAAAAAAAATTACAAATGGCCAATAGGTATATGAAAAATGCTCAATGGAGACGTGAATCAAAACTACAATGAAATGTCATATGACCCCAGTTAAAATGGTTTTTATCAAAAAGACAGGCAACAATAAATGCTGATGAGGATATGAAGAAAGAGAAACCTTTATGCACTATTGGTGGGAATGTAAATTAGTACAGCCATTATTCAGAACAGTATGAAGTTTCCTCAAAATTTTGAAAAACAGAACTACCGGATGACCCAGTATTCCACTACTGGATATCTTTAAAAAAGGAAATGAATCTATCAAAAAGACATCTGCATTCCCATCTTTATTGCAGCACTATTCACAATAGACAAAATATGGAATCAACCTATGTTCCCATCAACAGATGAGTAAAGAAAATGTAATATATATTATGCACAATGGAATATGATTCTGCCATAAAAAAGAATAAAATCCTGTCATTTGTAACAACATGGCTAGAACTGGACGGATGTCATTAAGTGAAATAAGCCAAGCACAGAAAGATAAATATCGTATGTTCTCATTCATATGTGAAAGAAAAAAAAAAAAAAAAAAAAAAAAAAGTGGATCTCAAAGACAAACAGATTTGTGGTTATAAGAGGCCACGAAGGGCATGGAGGAAAAAAGACGAAACGAAGTTGATGAATGGATATAAATACATGGGTTGCTAGAAGAAATAAGACCTACTGTTAGATAGATCAGCAGGGTTACTACAGTTTACAATAATCTATTGCATGTTTCAAAATAGCTAGAAGAATGGAAATGGTTTTATCATAAAGAAAAGACAAACATTTATGGCAATGGATATCCCAAGGACACTGATTTGATCTTTACAAATTGCATGAATGTATTAAATAATTATGTGTATCCCCAAACTATGTACATGTATTATACATCAATTATAAAAAAAAAGAATCAGGTGATTATAATTTGAGCTCAGTAGATTATCGGGGAAAACTGTAATATCTACATTTCTTACTATTTACACATTATCTTATTAAATAGAGCTCAGTTACTATGTCAGATCTTCATTGAAGTTATAACTTATTACATAGTTATAATAATAATGTGGAGAATAAGCTTTGTTGTGCAGACTTTTTAGACTGTAGCCTTAACATGAGCTGAAAACAGGGATAAAAAGTATTCATTATTTTTCACCAAACACACAAAGTATGGACTACTCTTATTCCAAAAAGTAAATATTTTTCAACATTTTACTAATAGCTTACACAAAATAAGTTGCTGGCCACAATCTTTCAGATATGTCTAGCCTTACTTTAAATATGTGTAATTATAAAAGACTCGTGTGGTTGAAAATAAAACAAAAACTTCACAAATAACAAATCAGTGAAAATCCTTATTCTTATTTTATTAAAGATACATTTCATTTTAAAGGAAAAAAGAACACCTACCCTATAACATTTAGAAAGAATGATTTTTATTGTAATTTTTTTTACTTTTTCAACATATTCAAACTTCCAGCTCTCCATGAAGTTATATGGGTATTGAGAGACTTATAATATCATAAAATGAATAATCTCCTCAACAATTTGTTTTTAAAGCATATAAACTAAACTGCATAACATTTTATTTATTTTGATGATATCTCTCCAGTCTATGTATAATCAATTTTTAAAAAGAACTGTAAAAGCTAGTATCTAGTATTTTCTCCATTTTCTATTCTTTAGCAGTCATTGAGTTTTACCTACTATGCAGAGACAGACACACAGATAATACTGTAGTATACTTCACTTGGGTGGTTTTTCCTTTTTAATTTACATTTATTCATTCATTTAACATATGTTTTTTAGTGCCTACTATTCATGTGTCATACACTGTAATAAGTATGAGGAGTCTTTTAGCTTCTATAAAGTTATGGTTCAATTAATAAACATTTCACATTTCAGCAGAACATTTTTGCATGGGTAGAAACTTTAGCAAATTTCAAAACTTATCACATGAGTGACTACCAATTCTGCCAGCCTTTTCCATTCACAATTTCATAATAATCTGTAGCTAAAAACCGGGATTCTTTCAACAAATATTTTAGAAACATTTTCTATCTTTTGTTTAGCATTAAATGAACCATGGCCAACCACCTGTACATAAGTTCCATAAATACAAAAAAAATAAGACTTAGGTGAATTTCAACATCCAAACTAAAGCCTTGAGAATTGCCAAGTCCTTCAAAGAGCTAAAAAGCTTCTCTGCAAAATGATGACACAAATGATTCATCTGAGGTGAATGATACTTGAAGACACAAGGTTTTATCAACCCTTAGATCATCCTGAATATATTCTAAGTGTCACAGAATAAGTAGAACTTTAACTTACAGTAAAGAGCTATAGAACACAGCTTTCAGGGAGGTCTGATTTCAAGAGTATTATTTGATAAAACTATTACACCAATTAGACCCTAGTCTTGTATGAATATTTGCCTACATTTACTTCTACACATGTATATTCAATTCTAGAATCAATTGAGACCCACACATTATTGTATTACCCTAGGATCTCAAATTATCTAATAAAGCCTTAAAAGAATTTAAGCTGTGAACCAATGTAACAATCAAAAATGTAAAACACATCTATTGCATATCTTCAACATTCTGACAGTATATTTACAAATTTTAGTTTTGGTGAATATTGACTGGAATAATGAAAATGTGATTCATAAAATTGGTTTGGAAGTGAGCTTCCATTTAATGTTTGAATTCCTTCTATAATAATTCAAACGAATAAATGTTCATAAAATTATAAAGGACATCATAGGCAGAAGTGCCTTGAGAACCCAAGGAGGGGTTTATTCAGAAAACTTTTAAAAATCTCTTCTGAAATCAATAAAAGTCCCACTTTACAAGACAAGTTTTCCTTTAATGACAGCCTGAAGCTCATGAGTAACAAGTTAAAAAGAGGGAAAACTACAAAAAAGTAGCTTTGAATCAGTAGCCCCCTAGGTCTTTAAGCCGTTCAAGTTCCAGAGAGTTTTTCAATCACACTTAAAGGACTTTAAAGAATCATCTATAGTCTCTTTTAAAGATCTGTATGTATTTTTTAAAACAACAATAACTCAACTGTAAATAAACTTTTAAAATTACAAGAATTTGTCTTCATAATTTACTACAACCTTCATATTTTTAAAAATCCAATCTCTCAATTTCAGATAAAGGAGTGGAAAACTAGTTATTACTAGTTGTTTTCAAAGTCTGCTTATCTTTGATACAGTATGTGAAATGAAAATAAAGCAAATAACTCTGTTCAATACTAGCTCTTTGTTTTTGCATTTAAATGAATGCAAAATAATGAAAATCGATGTGCTGCTGTCCACATGTATGTACAAGACTCACCAGGTTCTTTCAGAAGCTCCAAGGTAGAGGTCCCAGGTCGTAAGTAAAGATGGACAGGAAAGGGAGAGAGTGATTCCAACATTCTGTTTCCAAAACATGAAGGTATATCTTTAAGTGATTTAATAATCCCGATTTTGTAATACAAATCTTCAACACTAAAATTATAGGACTAAATGCTAATCACAGAAAACCACTTGTCCTTGGTCAATAGGACTACACCTGTTGTTCCCTCAGTGCATTGCAGAGTGAATATTATTAAATAAAGACAAAGTAATATCAAATTTTGTTGGTTCTGAGATGAAAAACAAATAGGAACGTTTGCTTTCCAAATGAGCCCAAACTAGCAAAAATCAGGAAAATGAACGAGCATCATATCTGTCTATTTCTTCAGTGTTTTACAAGAGATTTTTTTAAGTAGCATGTTTTTCTAACATGATTTGGAGAGCTTCAATCCAAACAGCTGAATAAAGTCAATCACCACTTAGAAACCTTGGAAAATGTGAATAAGCAAAAAGAAAGAAAGTTAAAATCTTCTCTAATCTTATCATCCTGATATTTTAGTAATAATTGCAAACCCTTCAATGCTTCCTAAAGGCCAGCATTTAAAGCACTATTCTAATCCCTTTTATATGTTTTACCTGATTTATTCCTCAAAACAGGCATGTAGGTATTTACTATTATGATATTCATTGTAAAAACGAAGAAACTAAGACATTTGGGGGTTAGGTAGTATATCATTCAGATTATTCCAGCTAGAAGTGGGTGGGTCAGGATTCAAACGCAGGCAGTAGGACTTCAGAATCCATATTACTATTTCATATTGATTTCGTTTGTCATGATTAGCATGTTAAATATATTTCATACCTTTTCTACGTTTAAGTGTACATAAATGCATATGAACTTTTAACCTATTATTTTGTACCTAATATATCATGGAGATCTTTATAAATGTACAAAGGTACACGTTGTTATTTTGACCCATTACATAGAATGCTGTGTTATTTTGGCCTATTACATAAAAATCAATTGTATAGATTTTAACATACTGATGGCTTATTTACCAGTCTTCTTCTGTGGGATATTTACTTTCTTGTTGTTTATACACAAGGGTGAAAATCTTTGAACATTCATATTTGTGCATCTATCCAATTATTTCCTTGTGTTACTATAAATGCCTAGAAATGAAAATGTTGGTTTAAAAAATGATATAAATCTTATGTAAATTTCTAGCATTTTAAAACATTTGCCCAGAAAAAAAGCATGGTGTATGAAGGAGGAGACTGTTCAGAGATTTACATTTGGCACATAGTAGGCATTCAGTAAATAGTAAATAAATAACAATAGGATCTATTAATTTAACTGTCACTCATGTGGTCATGCCCACGGAGTTGGCCAAAAGACTGAGATATCCCTTAAATTGTATCAAGGGAAAATATAGAGCCTTGAGTACGGCAATCAGTTTTATAAAATTCCATTTGAAATTTTAGAATGTTTTTATATATCATGAAGAACGGTGCCAAGTTTTATTGATCAGGCATAATTTCCTTTGTTTTCTAATATCTGGTCCATACATTAGTATTATTTAATCTCCAAGTTAGAACTAATTATGTATTTTCAATTATTCCCCATTAATAAAAGATTCTAATGGAAATAGACCATTCAACCACTTAAGCAAAATATTTTACAAATATTAAGATGAAATGGCAGTTGTTTCAACACAAATGTGAAATGCCATGAAGATCCTATCATTATTTTATAATATCCTCATTCTGTTCCTAATTAAACTGATCAAAATAACCTAAACATGAATTGTCTTGTAACACAGGAAACTCACTGATCACAAAACTAGGTGAAGAAGTCCAGGCTGACTTGCCTGAATTACAGAATGCATTTACAGAAATACAATTGTCATACTTTCAAATGCACCAAATAATATCAACTAAAAATTAGCACTAGTAAATAACAGATTAATAAATGGAAATTTAGATGGGAAATTAAAATTTAGAATAAACCCATATCTATCATCATCATTAAAACAGTATTAATGTAGGACAATCTTTGAATTTAGAATTCAAAGGTACATTGAAGAACTTGACTTTCTTAAACTTATATTGAAGTTGTAGAAGTATTCAATTGTGTTTTCCCTTCACGGGTCAAAAATAGACAAGTTTAGAAAAAGGAAGAAATCATATATTTATAAAATTCAATCATGTTCACATTTTGCTCAATGACATTTCTTTTCTTGGTCAATATTTCAATAGTCAACCCAAAAATATGATAGTCATCTTAACAATCAGTATTTTCCAAGGCATCTTCGGGATAATTTTAAGTTGTTTATATACAGCTTTTCTTATAGGGCGTCTATTTAACTTAAAAACCTTTTGGGAGTTTCATGAAGAGTTGAGTCATTCATACTAATTAGTTCTACAGACTGTCCCTGCATTGTTAACAATCTCCTACCTAATTTCCCAACTGATTCTATTATCTTTCCTTCTGCTTATGTTCTCACTGCTGTTTCCTTATCTTCATTATGTGGTAAACTAGGTTTCAAAAAAAAAAAAAATTGGTCTAGTGACGTTTTATTTGTCTAGTTAAGCACAGGTTTCAAAAAATCCTTAGTCACTACGTCCCAAAACACTTATTTGTCTTTCCCACTGCATTCCCATCACACTTTTAACATTAATGAAATGAAGCTAACTGCTAAAGTAAGAAAGAAGTTACCACCATCAACTAGCTATAAATAAAGACAAGGCAGCCCAGGTGTATTGAAGTTCAGGCTTTATATGCCCTGGACTGTCATTGGAAGTACATGCACTTGCTCTTAATTTCAAAGGGTGTTGATCTTCCTCATTAAGCAGGACATGTTTTCATTAAAAATGGAAAATTAGGGTGTCAAGGGACCTTTATCTTCTTCCAGTTGCAGAAGAAACAATTCTTTGGGAAATATTCAACTCTCTTGAGAAAGACATTATCCTGAAAGATATTATACCTGATCAGAGAATAATAAGTGCTTCACTTGTCCCTAAAACATTATTATTTTGCTATGGCTTACCAGCCTCATCTAAAGATACTGAAAATATTTTCAAATGAATTCAGTTAATCTTTTCAGTTAGTAAATGCTGACTGGAAATTCTAAACAATTTGGCTAAATTGCTGTATTAACTACTCTTTTAGGAGCTACCACTCTGCCAGACCAACTTGGATCTTGAGTTAAAATGGATAACTCAAAGTCAGAAAAGAAATTTATTAAAACTGGTAAATTTCCAATACAATAATTTATTTTCTTTGAATTATTATCTTCCCTTATCTTGGGTATAACCAAACCTTCAGTGTTAAGGTTGTGTATATATTTCATTCTTTCAGATTTGAGTACTATATCACTCTTTTGCCAAGAAAGTGGTTACTCTGAGCATGGATCTTCTAGTATTAAGCACACAGTTCACAACTTGAATGTTGGAAGACCCACAAAGTTCTTTGTAGCCTTGCCGGCATTTCCTCAACTAACTTATGGCTGTAATAATTATCCCAAATTTCTGACCATGTCATAATATTAATGAATTATTGTAAAACAAGCCACTGAAATGTACATTTTCCAGAGAAGAATTTACTGTCTATAAGTATAAATGTTCTTACAAAATATGTGCTGAAGGGCTTAGAGGTTCTGTCTGTAGCTTCAGGGCAAACTACTGTGTATGTAATTTTAAAGTTATCTTGAAGACGATTATGCTATTTCACGCAATAATTAGGAAAAGGAACTGACCCAACTCCAGACACTTTTGGAAAGCAGAGGCAATGCTCAAAATTCCTGTAATCAAACTATGTTCTGTAAAAACAGCCTCACCTTCTGTTAGAAAAAGACTAACCTTTAATTATTAGATTTAGAAAGGAAAATTATAACTTACTCTGCTCCATAATTGCTGCAGATGAGTTATTAAAATTCTAAACTTATGTAATATTATCATAAAATATGGCATTTTTTTCTCAGGAAATCCACAAATTGGATTCAAGCTTATGCACTGTAAAACCCAGATGGTTTACTTAACTACTCAGACATCCTTCAGTTCAAAAGTTAACTGAACTGAAAACTAAAATTTTGAAAATTGATACGCTTTGAGGAACTCAAGCAGAACAATAAATTAGCTTCATGTATGGGGTGTTAAGAGATAGACTTGAGAGGCCATGACAGTTGATCAGGGAATATTGGCAAATTAGAAGAAAATACACAGTTTCTATAGGTTAGCTAATTATACATTACCTGGACTTCTCAAAGTGCTTGTGCTTTGCTGTCTCCATTTTCTTACTCACTGGTTCAATATTAGTCATGATTTTGTCCAGTTTAACTTGTCCTGAAATGTTTTTTAAGTTTTACTTGCATATTAGTTTTCAAATTATAAATGCATTTTTCAAATTCAATTGCAAATCACAAATTTTTCATAAAAAGAGCTGTAATTTTTTAAAATACTACTAACACAGAGACACTAAAAAGCACAATTGAGCAGTTTTCTTCACTCCATGCTACTCAGATACTTTGCAATTACTAAACTTTAGGACTGAAAAGTACAGTGCAAATGAACTGCATATATCAAAAAGGAGATTGCTCTCAGACAAATGGCTGTAACAGCATAGCACATATGGACGAATACAAACAACCTCATTTATACATATTAGTATCATTATAATCATTGTCATCACAAAGCTTACTTTTTACAGAAGGGGCTGCTACTTTAAAATAATTTGGAAGATCATTAGTTCCTGTAAATAGGAACACTGAGTGCTCCAAAAATCTTATTATTTGATAGAGTAAGACTAAATTCCACAAAAGGCAAAGGTTCTACATTTAAAAAATCTAATTGGAGAGACACAAGATGGCCGAATAGGAACAGCTCTAGAGTGCAATTCCCCAGCAAGAACAACACAGAGGGTGAGTGATCACTGCATTTCCAAAAGAGTTTTTACTGCCCACAGACCAGGAGATTCCCCGGCTGAAAAGTGCCACAAGTTTCCAGCATGGCTGTTTCAGCTGGCACCATGAGTATCCACACTAAAACTCACACAAATCTGGGTAGCCATTTCAACTGGCACCTGGAATGCCTGGGAGACAGAGCCGCTTATTCCACTAAAAAAGTGGGGGCTGAAACAGTGAGCCAGGAGATCTGGCTAAGCAGGTCCCACCCCTACAAAGATCAGTAATCTGAAACGCTCTAGATTGAGAGTTTTGCAGCATGCGCAGCTGGACCCGGGACGGTCCCCTTGGTGTGGGGAAGGGGGTCTGCCATTACCAAGACAGTCCACTACTAGGGAGGCAGTCCGCCATTACTGAGGCAGTCTGCCATTACTGAGGCAGATTTCCATTACTGAGGCAGACCTCCATTACTGAGGCAGTTCTAACTGTACCTCTGTAACTAAAACCACAAGGAAGTTTACACAGCAACTGTACAGAGCCCATGGCAGCTCAGCAATGCCTCTGACTAGACTACCTCCTCACTGGGCAGGGCATCTCTGAAAAAAGGCAGCAGCACATTAGGAATTTATAAATAAAGCCCCACCCTCCCACGACAGAGCACCTGGGGAAAAGACAGTCATGAATGCTGCTGCAGAGACTTTAACATACCTGCCCAACAGCTCTGAATGGAATAACAGAGCTCCCAAGACAGCACTTGAGCTTCTATAAGGGACAGACTGTCTCCTCAAGCAGCTCCCGACCCCCATATATTCAAAAAGACAACTGATAGAAGAGAGCTCAGGCTGACATCTGGTGGGTACCCTTATGAAAAAAAGATAACAGAAGAAGAAACCAGCAGCAACCCTTACTGTTCTGCAGCTGCAACAGATGATCCCCAGGCACGCAGGCTCTGGAGTGGACCTCCAGCCATACTACAGCAGGGGGACCTGACTGTTAGGAGGAAACCTAAAAAGCAGAAAGAAATAGCTTCAACAGCAACAAAAACAACATCCACTCAGAGACCCCATCCGAAAGTGACCAACTACAAAGACCACAGGTAGATAAATCCACAAAGATGGGAAGAAAACAGTGCAAAAAGGATGAAAACACCAAAAACCAGAACAGGTCTCCCCCTCCAAGGGATCACAACTTCTCACCAGCAAGGGAACAAAGCTGGATGGTGAACGAGTCTGATGAAGAGACAGAAACAGGCTTCAGAAGGTGGGTAATAACAAACTTCTCTGAGCTAAAAGAACATGTTCTAACCCAATGCAAAGACACTAAGAACGTTGAAAAAAGGTTAGATGAAATGCTAACTAGAATAAACCGCTTAGAGAAGAATACAAATGACTTGATGGAGCTGAAAAACACAGCATAAGAACTTCACAAAGCATACACAAGTTTCAATAGCTGAATCAACCAAGCAGAATAAAGGACATCTGAGATTAAAGATCAACTCAATGAAATAAAATGAGGAGGCAAAATTAAAGAAAAAAGAGTGAAAAAAAATGAACAAAGCCTCCAAGAAATAAGGGATTATGTTAAAAGACCTAATTTATGTTTGATAGGTGTACCTGAATGTCACAGAGAGAATGAATCTAAGCTGGAAAACATTCTTCAGGATATTACCCAGGAGAACTTCCCCAATCTAGCAAAGCAGGACAACATTCAAGTCCATGAAATACAGAGAACACCACAAAGATATTCCTCAAGAAGTGCAATCACAAGGCACACAATTGTCAGATTCACCAGAGTTGAAATGAAGGAATAAATACTAAGGGCAGGTGGAGAGAAAAGTCAGGTTACCCACAAAGGGAAGCCCATCAGACTCACAGTGGATCTCTCGACAGAAACCCTACAAGCCAGAAAAGAGTGGGGCCAATATTCAACATCCTTAAAGAAAAGAGCTTTCAACCTAGAATTTCATATCCAGCCAACTAAGCTTCTTTAGTGAAGAAGAAATAAAATCCTTTACAGACAAGCAATTGCTGAGAGATTTCATCACCACCAGGACTGCCTTACAAGATCTCCTGAAAACACTAAACATGCAGAGGAACAACCAGTACCAGCCACTCCAAAAACATACTCAATGGTAAAAACCACTGACACAATAGAGAAACTGCATCAACTAACAGGCAAAAGAACCAGCTAGCATCAAAATGGCAGGATCAAATTTACACATAACAATATTAACCTTAAATGTAAATGGGCTAAATGCTCCAATCAAAAGATGCAGACTGGCAAACTGTATAAAAAGTCAAGACCTATCAGTGTGCTGTATTCAAGAAATCCATCTCACATGCAAGGACACACATAGGCTCAAGATAAAGGGATGGAAGAAGATTTACCAAAAATTGATAGCAAAAAAAGCAGAAGTTATAATCAGAGTATCTGATAAAATGGACGTTAAATCAACAAAGATTAAAAGAAACAAAGAAGGACATTACATAATGGTAAAAGGATCAATGCAACAAGAAGAGCTAATGATCCTAAATATATAGGTACCCAATACAGAAGCACCCAATACATAAAGCAAGTTCTCAGAGACCTACTAAGAGACTTAGAGTCCCACACAATAATAGTGGGAGATTTTAACACTCCACTGTCAATATTAGACAGATCAAGACAAAAATTAACAAGGTTATCCAGGACTTGAACTCAGATCTGGACAAAGCAGATGTAAAAGACATCTACAGAACTCTCCACCCCAAATCCACAGAATATACATTCTTCTCAGCACCACATCTCACGCACTCTAAAACTGACCACATAATTGGAAGTAAATCACTCCTCAGCAAATGCAAAAGAACAGAAATCATAACAGTCTCTTAGACAACAGTGCAATCAAATTAGAACTCAGGATTAAGAAACTAACTCAGAACTGCACAACTTCATGGAAACTGAACAACTGTGTCCGGAATGTTGACTAGATAAACAATGAAATGAAGGCAGAAATAAAGATGTTCTCTGAAACCAAACAAAATGAAGACACAACGTACCAGAATCCCTGAGACACATTTAAAGCAGTCTCCAGAGGGAAATTTATAGCAATAAATGCTCACATGAGAAGTGAAGAACAATCTAAAATCAACACCCTATTATCAAAATTGAAAGAGCTAGAGGAGCAAGATGAAAAAAAATTCAAAAGCTAGCAGAAGACAAGAACTAACTAAGATCAGAGCAGAACTTAAGAAGATAGAGACATTAAAAAAAACCCTTCAAAAATCAATAAATCTAGGAGCTGGTTTTTTGAAAAGATCAACAAAATAGACTGCTAATCAGATTAATAAAAAAGACAAGAGAGAAGAATCAAATAGATGTAATAAAAAACAAAAAGGGAATATCACCACCAATTCCACAGAAATACAAACTACCATCAGAGATAACTACAAACAATTCTATGAAAACAAACCCGTAAATCTGGAAGAAATGGATAAATTCCTGGACACTTGCACCCTCCCAAGCCTAAACCAGGAAGAAGCTGAAACCCTGAATAGACCGATAACAAAGGCTGAGGTTGAGGCAGCAATTAATAGTCTACCAACCAAAAAAATCCAGGTACAGATGGTTCACAGCCAAATTCTACCAGACGTACAAAGAGGAACTGGTACCACTCCTTCTGAAACTATTCCAAACAATACAGAAGGACGGAATCCTTCCCAAATTATTTTATGAGACCAACATTATCCTGATACCAAAACACAATAGAGACTCAACTGAAAAATAAAACTTCAGGCCAATATCCATGATGAATATAGACGCAAAATTCTTCAACAAAATAGTGGCAAACCGATTACAATAGCACATCAAAAAGCTTATCCATCACAATCCATCAGGATCCCAGGGATTCAAGGCTGGTTCAACATACACAAATTAATAAACATAATCCATCACATAAACAGAATCAATGTCAAAAAACATATTATTATCTCAATAGATGCAGAAAACGCCTACCACAAAATTTAACAGCCCTTTATGCTAAAACTCTAATAAACAAAGTATCAATGGAACGTATTTCAAAATAATAAAAGCTATTTACGACAAACCCACAGCCAATATCATACTGAATGGGCAAAAACTGGAAGCATTCCCTTTGAAATCTGGCACTAGACAAGGATGCCCTCTCTCACCACTCCTATTCAATATAGTATTGGAAGTTCTTGCCAGAGCAATCAGGCAAGAAAAGGAAATACAGCATATTCAATTAGGAAAGGAAGAAGTCAAATGGTCCCTATTTGCACACGACGTGATTGTATAATTAGAAAACCACATTGTCTCAGCCCAAAATCACCTTAAACTGATAAGCAACTTCAGCAAAGTCTCAGGATACAAAATCAACGTGCAGAAATCACAAGCATTCCTATATGCCAATAACAGACTTAAAGACAGCCAAATCCAGAGTGA